TACTGTACTCTGTTATATTTCAGAAATAATAATTCAAGATGAATTTTATAAATTTATCATTAGTATTTTTATAAGTATATTTATAACAAATTTAGAAGTTATCTAATCATTATTACCATTAATGATTTGAATTTAGAATAATTTTGCTACCAGAATAAACAGCAATAATCTGTGTTTATAACAGATATTATGCTTATTTTAATGATGAAATTGGGTTTTAATTGATTTGTCAGAAAATATATGCCATGCATTAATGTTGAGTTGACAATGCTAAAATCATTTGATTCTGATGAGTTATTTTTGAAAGCTATATTTAAGTTGCATTAACATAGAATGATTGAAATTTTGTTTTAATGCATTTAATTCCAATTATTCCACATTAAAGCAACCCAATGATGGTATTTGAAAAAGACAAACACCTTTATTAAATAATAATTCTGGATTTTAAAGGTTTTTTAACATTTATTTGTAGATACAATAAAATTCTTCTTTAAATTCAGTTCTTGCTTAAATGTTTTAGGACTTGTCATACACCAATGGTGAGGCTTTTAAATTAATAAGTTAATATTGTTAATAATTATTTTATTAACAAAATTTTCAACAATTTTAATTATTCCAGGATGCATTTCAGGAGAGACATTACTTCACTCTCTTTTTCAGCCTATTATGACAGAATACAAACATATAATATGCTATACAACTGAATTAGATATAATTTTAAATGTTAACAGAATGTTACCTTATACTTTTATATATCATAGATTTTAATGGTGTTACTCTTAAAGTCTATGATTGTTATTCAATGGCATTGTGAGGAGCTGGGGGCAAAAGGGACTGTTCCCTAAATGCCACTTAATCGGCAACGGGTCAGCAGGACCTGCTCACATTGTCTGTTGGATGGCTAGGAGTTTATTGGAAACCCGCAACTCGTAAGATTGCTACTTCCATTTAGGAACTGACACCAGTTAGGATAATGCTAAAACACATCCTAACTTGCAATTCTTACATTAATGTATATAGGAGGGTCTTCAAATATTGAGTGGGGAGTGCAGTGGGTAAGTGTCTGGTTTCCAAGCAATAGGCAGACAAGTTTAACAAAACAAATAAAAGTTTAATATATTCTAAATCTTTGATATACATAAGGATTCAAACAAAGTGATTAACATATGGCTGTAAAATATGGATATTAGATTGTACAACTGCGGCACAACTATTCTATGTCTTATGCCGCTTGGGCAGGCCTAATTTCTCGAACACGGAGAGAGAGGTGTTTTGTTGGAGAGAGAGGATTAGAGGTGTTTCTAACAAAACACCTCTAATCCTTATGGAGGTCGATGTCTTCCTTTTTTGTATGGCGAGTCATCGATGATAATGGCTTGGAACAGGTCTGTTCTATGAGGTGTCTTGATATGTCCATCAATATCCACCGGATATAGCAGATGTATCAAACACTTCTATGCAAGGACAAACATTACTTTATGAGGATGAACACCTTTCCTTAGGATGGCCTCCTGGAATTGTCGTTGTCTCTTCTTTTTATGCATTTAGCCTGGGAAAGTCAATCATGTGATCAGCAGTTGTTTAGAAACGAAGGTTGCTTTTGCAGGTGCAAGTTCAGCGATGACTTTCGTTGATGTAATGATGTCACTTTCTTCTCCTTTCACAATTGGATATTATCATTTTTCAAACTGACTGTTAAGATTCTTGTTCGTTTGCTGATAGTAAAGCCGTCATTCAATCCATGTTCAGTGTGATGTTCTCTAATGATCGCAACAGATGTTAAATAAAAAATTTCATAAAAATGGATTTTTAATATCCTTAAAATCCTGGATCTCACACCATGATATATTATAATATGTTTAACATAATACTGAATAATGAAAAATATTGAACAAATTCAATGTTGCTCTATGCATATCATTGGAATATTTTTTTGAATGTAAAGATTATCCACCATTGTGTTTGTATTTTGTCATCAGGCTGAAGAGGGTAATGAAGTAATCTCTCTCCCAAAATAATTAAAATTATAGAAAATTTTGTTAATAAAATAATTATTAACACTATAAAAGCCATTGGCATATGGCAAGTTCTAAAACATTTAAGAAAAAATTGAGCATAAAGAAGAATAGTTATATAAGGACAAAGCTTAAAACAAGATTCAATACAAGATGTAAACTAATAAATTTTAAGACAAAAAAAACCCATTGAAACAATCAGTTTTATTTCTGGAACAACATTTTAGCAGTATTGTCCTTTCATTGTAGGATACTTGGCTGTATTACAATGATAAAATTTTATTTAAAAACAAATTTTTAATAGAATAGAGTATAAAAGATCTATCTGTTTATCTCTGTTCCCAATTTGAAAATGTTTTTAAACTTTTTTTAGAGATTTTTCTTTGTTTTTAAGGAAATTTTTAATAGTATGCAAGAAACCTACAATGGAAGGTCAGTGCCATCAAAGTACAGTGATACCTTAGTTTTTGTCGATAATACATCTGAAAAAATCAGCGAAATTCGAAACTGACAAAAACCCAAGGCAATTATTTCCATAGGAATCAATGTAAATCCAATTAATTCATTTTAGACACTCCAAAAACACATTTTATAGAGAATAAATATAGTGTTTAATACTAAAAACAATAAGAAATTAATATAAAATGAATATAAAAGACTAATGTAAAGAATAAATGAACATTTAACATGGCATTCGAAGGGCTGCTGGCTCTGGAAACTTTCTTTGGTCTCATGATGGAGCTAAAAGGAAAGGAAAGCAATGGAATTGTTTGGCTAGACACACATGGTAAAGCTCACACAGGTAAACAATGCCACACTGAGCAGGAAAACACATGGGTTGCCCTTTGTTTCTGCAAAGTTAGCAGCGAGGTCACATGGGCATGCCAATGAAATCCAAGGCAATTGACAAAAACTGAGACAAATTTTTCACAGAAAAAATTGATGATAATCGAAATCAACAAAAACCAAGATATTACTGTATTGATATAGAATACAAAAGTATTTGAAAAGTGACTATGTTGACTGACTCTAAAATTTAGCAATTCAAATTATTGTCTGTTGAATAATTTTTACATGATGTAAAGTTTAATGTTGAGTTGTACCTTACAAAGATGAATATTATAAATTAACAGATTTAATGATATTTATTTCAGTTGTGTTTAATTATCCTTTTAAGAAAATTATAATAATAAAAAATTTTATTCTAATATTATTTACTAATACTCTTCCAAAAAAATGTCCAAAACTTTAGATTATTGAAGTGATGACAACTAACATATTTGAAATTTTATATAAAAGTATAACAATATAAAAAACATGCAATTAGATTCAAAAAGTAAACTACTGATAACGAGAAACTGTGATATTGTTTTTGAAAATACATAACAAATCAATAAATAAAATTTCATTTTTAATTATGAACTTGTTATAAGAAAAATAATAATTGAACTCAATAAACCATTTGATATTTTTAAACTGAAAAAAGGTTAGACTGAATTGAAATAGTTTATATTATATTTATTACTTACAGTTATCCTAAACAGTAGCAGTTTTCATTCTACCGAAAATTGAATTTTAGGATATTTTTAATAAACATTTTAAAATGTTTATGGAAGAAATAGTTTGCATTCATTACTTATAAGAATATGTGGTGGGACCCAAAACAAACTGGATTTTTTGTATAAAAACTTTATTTATTAACTTTTTTACAAAATTCCTTCAGTCACCTTTAAAGTACTCTCCATTAGATGCGATGCACTTGTCAAGTCTTTTTCCCCACTGTTTGAAGCATCTCTGAAACTCTTCAACTTTGCTATGCTACGCTCAAATGTAAACCTACAAACTGATGCTGTTTGCACAGCTGTTTTGTGAAGGTCTCTACTAACCCCATGTAATGGGAGAACTGTCTATTATGTCTACAAATGGCAGCACACTCTCAGTTTGGTTTTTTTTTTTCTTTTGGGTCCCCCCTTGTATGTTTTATTTTTCTTAATTTGTGTAACTTCAATAATTAATTTGTGCTTGTATTTTGTTGTAAACCATGTTTGTTCAAATGCAATATAACTTTGCACTTTCAGCTACAGTGCTTCCATCTCATCCAAAAATGTGTATGGGTCTTCTGTCACAGGTATTAGCTTGCTGGCTTTCCATTGTTCAAACACCAATATCTCTGTTGTTTTTTGTCCTATGCATATTGTTTCAATGGCTTATGCTGCTTTCTGTCATGCAGAATCTTGTAAGATCACTAATTCCCAGTGTTTGTATTGGTCCCAGTATCATATTTCACCTGTTTTTAACCCTCAAAAATAGAATAAACTTTTAGATAGAACCATTTTACTGTTTTTGTAATGCAATATAACCAATTTCTAGATAAATATACAAATGATTTTTAAAAAATAATTTAAGTTCAGCCATTTGAAGACCTCTTAAAAACTGTCCTGATTGGCAAGACAAACAATATGATCACTCTAGTTCTACTGTTTTTATGTATTGTGAGCACATGTCACCCTGTACTTATCCTGTAAAAATTTCAATGGATTTTTCACTTTCCACGCTCCAGAGAATGCTGTTAGTTGGTCAAGCTACTTTAAGAGCATCTGTGTATAACAGTGAAATATGAAAAACTAGTGTACACTATTTTTACAGTACAGTATCTCAACTTTTAAAAAAATAGTTAGACCACTGTTGCACTCAGCCTTTCATTAGTATATGCTATCCTGTGATGATGATACTTGCATGCTGATTCTCCACACACAAATATCAAATGCTGACTGGGTCTGGAGAGCTGGGAAACCAATCTAAGGTATCATTCCAGTCATTCCAATGAAGACCTTTGATACATATATTTATATACATGTTGTTAACAATATAGAATCTGTATTTTTTATCTTATTATACATATCATAAATTTATTTTTGAGTGTTTTTATAACTTTTGTTTTTATATATTTTATTGAAAAATTAAAATTTTAAAAAATAATTTTAGACTTTCAAATTGAATCCAGTTAAACAGAAGAAGCTTGAAATTAGTAAAATGAAAAAAAAGAAAGGAAAAAATTTCAAGCAAAATAGTGAAACTGAAAGGAAAAAGAAGTCTCAAAAGTAAGTTAAGAGTTTTTAAATTCACAAATAAAAACTATATAAACATGGATCAATAAATTGTATATGCACTTCACAAAAATAAGATATTTACACCCTTCAAAAGTGAAATTGTAACACCACAAAGGAATGCACATAGCCACCTGCAAATTACAGGAATGGTAGAGGTGACATATGAGTCATGTGGTACCCAGTTTTGGGCTACAAAGACCAGAGCCGCTTGGTCTATAAATACTATCAGTGACAATTTGTGGCAGCCGAACTTTCAAAGAAGCATACAAAATGCTTCAGAGACAAAATCAAGCTAAATACCATCTGTTAATGGCTGGGGAGCAAGACTGTTCTGGAGCTGCATGACCTCAATGGTACTCACTTTGTGCCCAATACAGTTGCCACAAGTGTTGGGCACAATGTGAGTACCATCCAGCAATGTATGACATGATGGATGCAGGAACATTTGCAAACACACCAAAGAAAGAGTGGGTCATACTGGTGCACAATAAAGTGCACAAACTGGCTGATTTGCTGAACAGTCCATCAAGACCCATTAGCAGGGCTGGATCATCACATAGAACAGTGTTTCTTAACAGGGGGGCTGGGACCCCCTGGGGGTCCATAAGAAGTTTGCTGGAGGCCGCCAAATTATGCAAAATTTCTTTCAGAATATAATAATAAGAAAATTGATGTTTAACTAAATATCATATTGAAAAGTTAAATAAGAAAGATAAAGTTTTCATATTTAGTTTTTTTCATTTATTTCTTCCTACATAAACTTTGTTAGTACAGAAGAAATAAATGCAAATATGCTGTATTTATACACTGCTGTATTTACTTCTTTTATTCCATAGTAATTCTAAGAAACTATTAATGCTTGGAATTTTAAAAATAATTAGAAAAAATAGTGGGCTTTGAAAATTTAAATGTTCAATTTATTTTTAATAAATTATTTATAATAAAAAATCTATTTATATTTGTTAAATTATCTATAATAAATT